CAGGGAGCCTGATGCGGGACTCGATCCCAGGACCCTGAGATCATGACCTGAGCCGAAGGCAGACGCTTAACCATCTGAGCCACCCAGGCGCCCAGATTTTTTTTTTTTTTAAACTCAAATGCCTTAACACCTCTTACGATGAGGCTATGGGATATGGTGGGTCACTAACAAGCTCACTGCTTTTGGATCCTCAGACCTAGGTGCTGATCTTATTTCTCTCAATACCCGCCCTCTTTGGTCTTAAGAAATGTGCTAAAAAATAATATAAGCACAACAGTCGTATAGGCCTGTTTCTTTGACTCTAAGATAATAGTTTTGTGTGACAGAAATTTTTAAATTTTTCATTTTCTTCTGCATGTAAAGTGATATTGCTGCTGATGTGCATCTTCAATTCAGCTTACTGATACAAAATAGAAATTCTCTTCTCACTGCACTCCCCCAACATGCTCTTGCAATACGAATTTATGCTAGTTTGGGAATGCCTTCAAGGGCAGGAGAGCATATTAAATTATTTAGAATCATCACAGTGGCTTTTAATCTTTTTAATAGAGCTATGATTTAACTTTTTAAGTAGGCTTTGGCTATTTACTACTCTCTTTCCTTTTCTAGTAGTAAAATAAATAAGAGCCAATAACCCAGGGGCAAGAGATCTATGTTGCACAGGAAGTAATCCATCCTTTCTAACTAGATCTGCTGTTACTACTTCCTTTGTAGTATGTCTCTTTTGAGTCAACAACCTTTCCTCTCACTGGTCCTTACCTGCCTTAAGGGACAAGATGAACAACGGGAAGGCCTCCTAACATCTCTTCAGAATCAAGTTAATCAGGTAAAGTACACGAGAATATTAAGCCAGGCAAGTATTTTTCTAATGACATTAATTTGTTTTCCTTTCAAATACTGAGATTAAACTAATAAGATGACAACATATTTTGATTAGCTGCAAGGAAACACCATCCATGTCCTATTTTCCTACCTGGCATTCTAGGCACCACAAGATTCACAGTTTTGTAACAGTAATTATGCATTGTGCCCTATAAAAATAATATTTTGTACATTGCGTACAACTTTGACATATCTGCTCCTCTCCTGATCCTACGTTGTGGGAGAGGTGCTTGAGCAGTGTGTGTTGCAGGCGTGGTGCTAAGACAGAGGAACCTCTCTCCAGCTTCTCCAGCTCCACCCCCACCTATCTGGAGGGTCTCAGCTTGAGCTCTCTTCATTCAGAAACTCAGTTTTATTTTCTTTGTTTCTTTTTTTTTTTTAAGATTTTATTTATTTATTTGTCAGAGCGAGAGAGTGGCAGGCAGAGGGAGAAGCAGGCTCCCGGCTGAGCAAGGAGCCCAATGTGGGACTCGATCCCAGGTCCCTGGGATCATGACCTGAGCCGAAGGCAGACGCTTAACCGACTGAGCCACCCACGCGTCCCTCAGTTTTATTTTCCTGCCAGAGCCAGACCAATGCCAGTTGAGTGTAAAGTACTAATTTCAAAATCAGAAGGTATATTGATTTGTGTACAAAGAATTTGAATTTTGGCTTTCCACCACCCACAGTTCTCCTGGTCACTCTTTGGGGCATTTGCATTCTGTGTACTTAAAGGAAGCCAGGTGATGGAACTAGAAATTGGGAAGTGTGGAATTGAGCAAAGTAGGTAGATTGGTCATGTGGGATGTTTTATCCGCTTACAGAGCCAAATGGAACCCTCCTGTGGCCCTCCGTTTCTATGACATCATGTCTTTCTTTCAGATGGTACTACATGAATGTGAACAAGGATACTTGACTCATTTGGTCCTCTCGTCATCTCCCGCTTTTTAGATATGAGAGATCTATCCTTTGCACAACAGCCAAAGTGATCCTTCTAAAATGTAAATCGCCTGTTACTTTGGTGCCCAAAATACTCCAATGTTTCTCAGTATATCTAGAATAAAAATTCAAAGTCTGGGCTTATAGAGGCCTACATGATTTGGCACTGGCTCCCCCTTCTGCCTTGTTTCCTACCAGTCATGCCTTGCTCACTCCACTCTTCACACTGACCCCATTGCTATCTTTTTTTTTTTTTAAATTTATTTATTTTAGAGAGCAATCAAGCATGCTTGGGGGGAAGGGCAGAGGGACGGAGAGAGGGAGAGAAGCGGACTCCTCACTGAGCACGGAGCCCAAGGCGGGACTCCATCCCATGACCCTGAGATCATGATCTGAGCCGAAATCAAGAGACAGAAGTTAAATTGACTATTAAAAGCCACCCAGGTGCTCCACTATCCTTTGAACTTGGCAAGCAGATTTTCATTGCAGCACCTTTGCATCTTTTTTTCCCTTTACGTGGAAGGCTTTCCTCCCAGATAATAGCAGGGTTGCTCCCTCATTTCATCAGGTCTGTGCTCAGGTGTCACCTCCTCATGGAGGCCCTCCCTGATCACTTTCCAAAAATAGGACCACGGTCATTTTGTATCCCCTTGACCTGGTTCATGCAACTTCTTACATTTGACTTATTTTTATTTGTCCTGTTGCTAGAATGAAAGCTCTCATACAGTTTTGTGTTTACTGTCTTGGACCCTCAAGTCAGACTTGGGAGAGGACTCTATATTGATGAGATTGGAGAAATGCTCTCCTCTCATCATGCCATATACTTACAGTTCATTTGTTGGGCAGGGTTACTTCCCCATATGACTCATTTTAACTCATAAGATGATTCTCAGTAGTTACCATATTTCAGAGCATGGCAGTAAGGGGAGGGACTTGGCCCTTGCCATCTGATTCTAGGGTGTTGCCCACTTGTGGTTTGCTTCTCCTAAGCAAATCTTCGCTTTTCTAACATTAGTCTGAATCAGTGAAAGCAATCACTTTGTAGAACAATACACCACTTGACTGATGTGAAAATTGTCATATGTTTCAAAATAGTATATACATTCTTTATCAATGAAGACAGAAGTGTAAGATAGCAAGAATCCCCCCTTCAATAAAACATCAAAATAATACATTTGCTAGGGTTCATAGGTCCCTAGAAATGTAACAGAGAACTGATAAAAAATATAATTCTGTCTATTCAATATTTATCTTAATAAGACCAGTGAAATAACATATTTAAAAAATAATCTTTTTTGTTTGTTTGTTAATCTTTAACTTCATCTTCCTTTAAAGCATTTTCTAAGACTTATTACCAGGATTGTAAATAGATAAGAATTTTCTTCTTCCACCTAGAAAGGCAATGAGCAAGAAATAACCAGATTTCTGTCTGCGTGGAAGAAGGAGGAAAGCTAAAATTTTATTTTGCTTTGTTTATTAATTCGTTAAAGTAAGAATTATTTTTGACTGTCGGTAAGAAGCTCAATATAACTTTAAGAAAAAATCCATTTTAATAGGGAAAATAAGTTTTGGGTTCTTCCATTTATTTGCTGATTTAGATTTTAAGTAATTGGAGAGAAGAACGATACCAAGATGACATAAAAGCACGGCAGATGATGCATGAAGCATTGCAACTTCGCCTAAATTTGGTAAGGGGCATTTCTAGTGTTTTCCCTCCATTACACTTATCTAAATGTGAAAATGACTCCAGCGTTCCACTCCTTCGATGGTCATACTCTTCATTCCAAGGTGTGAGGCCTTCCACTGTTGGCTCTTTGCTCTAACAACTTCCCTGTCTCTCACGTGTCTGTCCTTGCTGCTGACCTTCCTGTCTGGTCTGACTTCTAGAGGGCATAGGTATTTTGGGCATTGGTGTTCTGCACCTCCTGCCCCAGGGAATTTCTCCTCCTTTTCAGTTTGTGCTAAGAGTAGGTCTGAGAAGGTTATTGCTTTGAGATGAATTAGCTTTGATTATACTCACTTAAAGACCCATATAAAAATGTGCCGTAAGTCGAACTTTTGTCAAACTTTCCATCATATTGATCAAAAAAACAAATTCGACAGGGAGGCTATCCAGACATTTAAAATTTCTCACACATTGCACATTTCTTTGAAGTTTTCTTTTCCTATTGGACAAACCTCAATGAAGGCTACTCTGGTGGATGGCTTGCCTGATACTTGGCAGTTGCTGCCCATCAGTCTTCTGTGTTACTGGATATTTCCAAGTGTTATTATGACAATAGGCTTAGATGCAATAGTAATTGAACAACACAAAGTGGTAGATAATCAACTTACCTGGTTGGACTAAAGTTATATTGTAAAACTGGGTATTATGAAAGATTAGGAACAAAAGAGAGTTAATTTTCCTATTATTTAATTCATTATTGATGTTGTGCCCACACTCAGGTTCCCCTTCTCCTCCTACCCCACCCCCCTCTTTTTTTTTTTTGAATGACCAAATTCCTGTGCTGAAGGAACCAAAAACAGTGACAAATAGGTAGCTAGGTAAGAGAGAAGATATGATAACCTATCAACTTGAGTCTTATTACTGTTTTGTTTTGTTTTGTTTTTTAACAAATCAAAATTGGCTACGTAAAGTGATGGGATGTTATTTTCTTTGTAATAAAGTTTTATTGTATTTTTTTTTTTTCGTGCCAGGTGGGTGGAATGTTTGACACTGTGCAGAGAAGCACCCAGTGGACGACAGACTGGGCCCTCCTCCTCCTCCAGATCATTACTTCTGGAACTGTTGACATGCACACTAACAAGTATGTTCTTACTTCACACATAGTATACTTCACACGTGCATGGTAGAAGTTTTGATATGCTGACTACAAACTGTGTCACATCTTATTCTCTTAGTTACCATCAAAAGTTCTGTGCCTTAAATAAAAATGCTATTAGTTAAGAATATCTTGGTTTTGCTTTAAGGTGAAAATAATTATTTTTTTCCCCCCTCTTAGTGAATTATTCACAACAGTTCTTGACATGCTGGGTGTTTTAATCAATGGAACCTTAGCCTCAGACCTATCAAATGCATCCCCAGGGGGATCTGAAGAGAACAAACGTGCATACATGAATTTAGTAAAGAAACTGAAAGTAAGTTTGTGACCTGCTTATATATCATGATCTCAGATAGTTTATGCATTAGTTATTTGCTGCATTTTATCTTAATTTACTGTGTTAAGTTAGATGTTATGTGGTTATTCTGCTATTTGCTTTACCTCAGCTTACTAGTACTCAAAAGTTATAAGCATATAGCTTGAAGATATTTCTTAAAAAAAATATATATTCACAAAATATTTAACTTTTTAAGGAACTTTGGAAATTTACTATCAAATGTGTAACAAAAATGCCCACATTGGATTTAGGATGAACCATGCTTGGACTGGCACCTATAATTGAAAAAATAATCATTTGCATTGATATTTCTAAACCCAATTCATTTGACTAACCAATAATGCAATCTTTGAAATAAACAGTAAACAAATGGTGCAGAAAAGAGAAAAGATCAATATTTCTAACGACCTTATCAATGAAATAACCAACGATTACCTTGAGGTTTGACCCTGGATTTGAGAACGTGTTCTCTGCTGCAGCTTCTGCCTACTGCTGGCAAATACTACACGGGATTTTTGTCATTTCAGCACTGTGATATTTGTTGTGTAACCAGGGTCCCATTGTATGTGTTCTATTTTCTACTTAAATAGAAGAAATGAAACATACTCACTACTCTAATTGAAAGCTGCATCATAGACCATGTTCAAGGTTAAAGAACATTCTGGCTATAAAAAAGGAAATGTTTCAAAGAGAAACTTCCTTCTCACCAACTTTTGCCTTCGTTGTAATTTCTGTCCCACTTCTCTATCTCTTTTTGTTTTGTTTGTTTGTTTTTTTAGAAAGAGCTAGGAGACAAGAGATCAGAAAGTATTGACAAAGTTCGACAGTTGCTACCTTTGCCAAAACAGACATGTGATGTCATCACTTGCGAACCTATGGGTTCCTTGATTGACACTAAGGGAAACAAAATTGCTGGATTCGACTCTATAGATAAAAAACAGGCAAGAGTAAATGTTTGTTTCTTGTATATATTTTCTCCTCTTCCTATAGGGTATATGAGACACCTCAATTTTACAGTTTCTAATTTTTTAAAAGCATAGTCTTGTCATTTAAATGCTTTGGTCATTGGCGTTATTACGTAGATAAATTCATTTAAAACTTTATGTGAATTTAAGTGAATTTCTGAAACACGCTGAAGGAAAATTAAGTAAAAATGTATTGTTAAGGGGCATCTGAGTGGCTCAGTCAGTTAAGTGTCTGCCTTCAGCTCAGATTGTGATCCCGGGGTCCTGAGGGTCGTGGGATCAAGCCCAGCCCCTGTCTCTGCTCAGCGGGGAGTGTACTTCTTCCTCTCCCTCTGTCCGCCCCCCCCACTCATGTGTGCACATGTACTCTCTCAAATAGATAAATAAAATGTTTTTTTAAAAAATGTATTGTAAAAATAAAAGAAGGCAAAGACCAGATCTGATCTTACTTCAGAGTTGACAACAGCACATTTAGATAAGAAAATTTTGATTGATAAAGTCTTCGTGTAGTAAGCTATTTTGAGTAAAAAAATATTTTTAGGGTGATGGTACTTAATTTTCTTCTCTGTTGAACAGTATTTCATTGAACACTTGTTTTATATAGGATATTAAGCAAGCTTCCCTTAAATACGAGAAGAGTGGTTATTCGTTTAATGAACATTGAGCAACTACAGAGATGAAAGAGCTCTTACCTTAAGCAGAAGTAGACAGACAATCACAGTGTGGTGAGATTTGTGTGTCATGGTACAAAGTGTTAGGGGACCCTGAGAAGGAGCCATCACCCTCAGAATGGAGTAGGTAGTCAGAATAGGGCCCCCCAGAAAATTGACACTTGAATTATTTTGAAGGATTAAGAGTTAGTTGGGAAATAGGGAAGTGTGTGATACAGGCCAATGGAAGAGTTTTCCTAAAGGTATGAAAGAATGTGGCTCTTAGGAGAAATGCAATGCTACGTTAATTCAGAGTACTTTTACCAGTGTGATTGTGGAGACAGAAAAAGCTAGTGTTATGGGCAGTTTGAGTTTGTAGGGTCATTGGGCTCTCTAGTGGTGAGACATCTAGAAACCATTTGGATATATGGTGTTTGCACCTAGGAAGAGGTCTAAGCTCAAGACAGTATTAGGAAACAGTCAATTTATACATAGTAAATGAGCCTTGATTTTGGATAAATCCATCCATGAAAGAGTTGTGTAGATAAGAACAGGAGCATTCATATCTTATGGAATGCCTGAGTAGTTGTTTTTGGGGTCATTCTGAGGAAAAATACTTTAAAGTTGGTATGCCAGGGAAAGTACCAAGAGACATCACCAGTTAATGTTAAAAATAAGAAACCTTTATTTTCAGAAACAGAGTAACATTTCCTCTTCTAAACCCAGTAGAGATAAGCTTGAATTAAAAGACTTTATTTGTACCTGTTGGTACAAGTTAACTTCTGTGGTAATATTCAGAAGCTGCCTTATTAAGTACGTGAAAGATTCCTGTACTGAATCAAGCCCATACATGTTTGGATTGAAGTTAATTTGAGCCCAATTAGAAGTTGACTATAACTTGACTCAAGTTTTGTTTTATCTCAAAAATAACAAAGTTAAAAAAAAAATGAAATCCAAAGAAAGGGTTATAATTTATAATTTAATAAAGTAAGATCAACATTGCAGTACTTTTTAGAAAGTGTTTTTTCCGAAAAACAAAACAAAACAAAAAAACCCTAACTGCAGAATACCAATTTACAGTAAAATATACTGGACCATCTGGTGTTGCAGCCTGAACAGATTATCATGTGGTCTAAAGAACCGCAGAATTGAACTTAAAGGTCTGAATTCTAGCTGCAGCTCTCCAGTGATCTAGCTGTGAAACCCTGAACCAGCACATTTACCTGTCTGCTGTATGCTAGGGCACTCTAAGCCTCACCACCAGCCAGAATGTTCTTTGCATCCATGTCCTAAGCAAGCTTGGCCTCTGAGTCAGGAAAAGACCTGAACGTGAGGTCATGGAGCATTATCTCAACCACAGGGTCTTCAGGTCTCTACAAAGCAGAAGGTGTCCCCGTGGGATTTGTTTGAGGGTCAGAAGAACCCAGCTCCTCTGTCCTGGGCCTGGTTCGGGACTGTCCGAGTGGACCGAAAGGTGATCAAGTACGAGGAGCAGCATCACCTGCTGTTGTATCACACACACCCCATGCCCAAGCCCCGAAGTTACTACCTCGAGCCACTGCCCCTGCCTCCCGAGGAGGAAGAGGAAGAGCCCACATCTCCCGTCTCTCAGGAACCAGAGAGGAAATCAGCTGAGCTGTCAGATCAGGGGAAAACCACAACAGACGAGGAGAAGAAAACAAAGGGAAGGAAGCGCAAGACGAAATCAAGCTCAAGAGTTGATGTGAGTATGAGAAGTCAGGAAGTCTTTGGCTCATTAACACCTGGTGGGAGATTTAATCATGCCCAGAGTCTGTCTCTAGCTACAGGAAAAGCATTAGAAGCCTTATTGTAATAGTTGTAATCCTAACAAAGCTCTGTCTTAATTAATAGAATGGCACATGAACAGTGACTTGTCACAGACAACAGGATTATAGCTTCTGATATTTCCTCCTCTTCTGTTCATTACTTTAATTTTAGGCTTCTCTTGTGAATAATCTTTAATTAATATTTCAGTGCCTCATAATTTCTCACATTTAAAACTTGAATTTCTTAGATCCCTTATATCTCATCTTCTTGCATATTTTTATTATTTCACGTCTAAAATATTTATCATCTTTTGAGCAGTTGACACATGTAGTAAATTAACGTGAAAAACTGTTCTCATTTCCTAGCTAACATGCCATCGAATACATCCAGTAGGATGTTTCTGAGATTTCATATTTTACCATTCCATCTTATTTTCCTGTATATTTTACTTCTTTAACATGCTTTTAGACTATATAGAAGACAAACACAATTTTAAAAAGTTTCATTCCTTTTTTCCCTATTAGCCTTCCCTACCTATACCAACATTTTCTTGAAAACAACAGAAACCTATGAGATGATAATTTGGAAATAATTTTGTAGCATTTATAGAATTAATGTGCAAGAATATCTTTACATTTAAATTCACCTGGAAAATACTTGAGAGAGAATTCGAAACAGTTTTGTATAAAGTTCAAGGGTATTCTTGTACAATGGAAGAAATATTCACAATTGAGTGGTCAGATGTCTTGTCTTATTATTATTATTTACCTATGTCAGAACCAAAACATATCTTTTCCTAGCTGATAGCTTGGTGATTAATGTTTTTCTAGAGAAGATCACCATCACTTTTGGATGCCACTTGAATGGTAGTGCCCTCTTTTCATATGGTCTTCCTACCAATATTCCTTTGTCTTGAAGAGGTCCAGGCTGCAACTCCCTAAAATCTGGACCCTCCTAGCCCGTCAGTCCACATGGATAGGTTTCTGGTTTTTTTCAGATACAAAAGTCCTAAAACTTCTCTCATTTCCTGAGTGAGTCCTGGTAATGTCCCTTCCTCCCATACTACTTCTGGAACTGCCCCTACACAGTGGGTTATATTTCAGGGATCCAAGGTTTTGTTTTTCCTTTATCCTTTAGGGCTAGACTAAGAGAAGGGGGATGGGGGATGGCAGGGGAATTGAGACATCTGGGTGTGAACCTTAAAGACTTTGCATCTCTTATAAGGAAGACGAAGCCTGGGGCGCCTGGGTGGCTCAGTTGGTTGAGCGACTGCCTTCAGCTCAGGTCATGATCCTGGAGTCCCGGGATCGAGTCCCGCATCAGGCTCCCTGCTCAGCAGGGAGTCTGCTTCTCCCTCTGACCCTCCCCCCTCTCATGTGCTCTCTCTCTCTCTCTCAAATAAAAAATAAAATCTTAAAAAAAAAAAAACCTTTAAGGAAGACGAAGCCTGGGAGCAGGGTGCAGGCAGATGGTGGAGAGTCTATGTCTTTAGGTTGCTGCCTTGAAAACTGGAAATAAGATACTGTTTCGGCCAGGGATTGGTCCTGAAGTATATTGGGTCTTTCTGGCCTCATTCTCATCCGGACCCAACATATCAGGAAGTCTTCCTAAGGTGACCTAAGATGAAATGATCCCCAGAGACTTAGCATCTAAAGATGCACTTTAAGTTGTAGGCAGTGGTCAATGTTGATGTACTTTTAGTATTTTAAAACACAAACTTCAGAAGTGATCCTTTTACATCTTCCCTTCACTTCTTAAGTCTAGTACTTCTTAAGTCAAAAGTTTTCACTCAAATGAGTGTTTTGCAGAGAACATGCTGACACTCTTGCCTTCCATCTTCCCCTCTATAAAAACAGCCTTGTCCACTGGGATAGGAGCTGGCTCAAGTAATGTGATAAGAATTTGCATTCATCATCTATATAGTTTACGGAGTTAAATAACTTTTTTTTTTAAACTTTATGTTGAAGGAGTATCCACAGAGCAACATATACCGAGTGCCTCCTAACTACTCACCCATTTCCTCCCAGATGTTGCACCATCCACAGTCCACCTTGTGGGGCTACAACCTCATGGGTCAGCCCCAGCAGCCGGGTTTTTTCCTTCAGAACCAATCTCTTACTCCAGGTATGTGAAGAGAGAGTACGGTTGGGTCACTCTGAGATGTGAAGTAGCTTGAGGTTTTCTTTACTTTTAACCTGAAACAAAACGTGGAAACTGCAAGAACTGAGTACTCAGTTGACACTTCTGTAATCCTTCCCATTTGAAATGTTTTTTCTTCTTCTAAAATACGGGTTTTTTTTTTTTTTTTTGAATGAGTCTTTTAATCTATTGTTGATTGTCACATACATGAATATATTCTAATTGTAAGAATCAAATAATACCTGAGCATATAGAGTAATTTAATATGTGACAAATTCTGGAGTATTTCTCAAGTGTTAAAATACAGTTTTAATTGCTAGGTTATGTTCTGAGTTGGGAGTTTTCATTCAGTATTAGAAGGAAATTAAATATATAAAATTGATAAAAGTTGTATGTTGTGAAATTTGTGTTTTTATCAGATATAATTCTTATCTGTGTTTTTAAAAATTAGACAATATTGCACAGTATCTTTATTTTCTTATGTTTTGAATTATAAATTGTTGATACTGAGAAGTATCTCAGAAATTTGGTTCAGCAGGTAGACTGAGATATCAAAGAAGGAAAACTTACCGAATCTATAGTAAATGTTCCTGATTTTAGTATGGCTTTCATTCAAGCCCAAGTAGACTTTATATCTGAAATGAACGTTCCCTAAATAAAAAATCTCTTACTTAGAAATGAATTTAATTTTTTTTCTAAATGAAAGTTTGCTTGTTCAACAAAATAGTGTATTTTGAGATCTTAGTCTGCATGTTGTGATTTTTATTGTAATTCGAGAATGACATTTTGAGGGCTAGGAAGAGACATTGTTTGATTCTTGGCCTACAGCAGGCGAGAATCCCTATTTTGTCTTCTAAATTAGAGGTTGAGAGGGCTGGTCTAGAAGTTACAGTTCTAGGTTCAGGTCTGGCTCAACCACTCTCCTGCTGTGTAATCTTGACCAGGTCTTAGTTTCTCTGTGCCTCAGTTTGGTTATCTGTAAAAGAGATATTTTAATATATGCCCTCATAGAGTAGGTGATTCAATTATTTATTCAACAAAATGTATTGAACTTCATAATGTTCCAGACTCTGTTCTGGGTGATAGGATATTGTACTATACAAAATGAGTAAAAATGTTCATTCTTCTTTGAATAATGAAATAAGGGTTATATTATACATGAACACACATACACACAACTGTGTGTATGTGTGTGTAACTTAAATTTCGAAAATGTAGCACATAGAAGATGGCCTAACCCAGCAGACATGTTCAGCAAATGATCTTAACATATTCCCACCTCAGGGCTTTTGCACCTGCTGGCCCCCATGCCTGGAGTGCTCACCATTAGATATTTTACATGGCTCACTGCCTCCCTCCTTTGGGCTTGGTCAGATACCATTTTCTCAGTGGGCTTCTACTGACCACCCTCTTTTATAAATGGTAAGCTACACCCCTTCGTGCACCTTTATTCCCCTCTCCTTTCTGTTTCTCCATAGATGAGCACTTGGTTATATGCTATATATTTAACTTACTGGTTTATTATCGGGCTTTCCCACAATATAAGCTCTGTTGGGGCAGGTATGTTTTCTGTTTCCTTCACTGTAGTGTCCTCAGAACTTAAAGCAAACTTGGGCTTTTAGTAAGCTCTTAAAAATAGGTTGTTGAATGGGTGAATGTAGACTATAAAGAGTAAACTAGACAATGGTAAATGTGGGAAATGATACATATTTTCTCGTTTGACTTTCTCTTTTCAGTTCCAAAGTCCTTGTGAATTTTTTAGCCTTTTTAAACACCAATTCAGTATGAATTGAAGGCTAAGTATTTTATAAAGACCTATACTTTCTTTCCCTAGAATACTATAAAAGGTGTTTATAAGTTAAGGAAATTTAGATATTAGGTAAGTTTTAAGTATGATGACATGTAAGAAAAATGTTAAAAGAAGCATTTATAGGGATTTTATATGTGTAAATTTCTTTTTGTAAAAATATGAATCCTGTGAAGTTGAAGAGTGCGTACAGTATGCTTTCAGTCATATGTAGTTAAAATGCAAAGCAGTATGGCCCCTCAACACAGATGTGTGTACACACACACACACACACACCCGTCTACAATTTCTCTCTCTTCCTCATGTATACACACCAGTATGGTAAAGTTATAAGGAAATGTTTGGGAATATTAAACACCATATTCAGAATAGCATTTGGTGAGAGAAGGTGAGGAAAGTAATTAGGAAAGTGCAGAGGGCTTCAGGGATACTTACTATATTTCTTTAGTTGGCTCAAAGGTACAAGATTATAAAAAAGTTAGGAAAATTAAAAGAAAATGGACGATGGCTTAATCCTTAGAAAGAATCTCCTTTATCTATAAAATGAGTCCATTAAGTTTTTATGTATTAGTACAGTTCCAGTTCTTGGTTCAACAAAAGTTACCTTGCCATATATTACTTAAATTGACTTTCCTCTTTTTTTCCTAATGTTCTTCAAATGCTGCTGATTTCATAAATCACATTGCTGGTGTGGTTCTGAGTCTTTAAAAGAATGTGGGTTTTCAGCTTTAAAATGTTTGTTCCCACCATACAACTTACTTTAAAAAAAAAACATAAAACATCTTTTGTGAGATACTTATATTTATATAGAGGATTTCTTACACATATATTAGTGATTGACACCTCATTTGAAGCCAGCAAATGTTGAAATTTTTTTCCCCAAACTCTTAAAGGCATTTGACAAACTATATATGCAAGTATGTTAAGGATTGCCTTTGGTTTCTCAGGCATCACTATAATCAACGTCTCCTGTTTGATTTCAAGCCTTCAAAAAGCTGTGTTTTGTCTTTTGAGTCATGGTATTTGAAGTTTCCAAGCCTTTCAAGTTTTGAAAGTATTTTCATGCCAGTCTACGGCGAAAGAGGCATTTTTATTTTGCCATGGTAAAGAAATTTAAATACCATGAGCTTCAAATTTGTTTAAAATGACAAAAGAGTTTCTATGACTGGCTTAGGACACTTGGCAAAATATACCACGAAGGCAGTACACTTTATGCCGGTAATGTATTCCCCAGGGCCTTGCATAATTTAAAACCCTCGTGATTCGAAATCATGCCCGCGAATCCATGTCAGGCATTTCAGTTGATCAGCCAAAGTGGGGCCTCCGTGAAATCATTGAAATACTATAATTCACGCCTACATCACCGTCCCCATCCTTTGGGAATTATGCAGTTTCCAACATACCTGTAATATTTGTATGGTGTGTGGCGGGGCCTTATTTTCCATTCGCTCATAAAGTGAGGCTTAGAAGGTAAGGTTTCCATGTTTTGATAAAATAAGGAAGACCTGTGGCATTAACACGCGTAGAGAGCCCTTCTTTCTGGTTGCTTTTGTAGGTGGCTCCAGACTGGACCCCACGGGCTCCTTCGTCCCCACCAACACCAAGCAAGCTCTGTCCAACATGCTGCAGCGGCGCTCGGGCGCCATGATGCAGCCGCCCCCGCTGCACGCCATCACCTCGCAGCAGCAGTTAATACAGATGAAGCTTCTGCAGCAGCAGCAGCAGCAGCGGCTTCTCAGGCAAGCCCAGGCTCGACCTTTCCAGCAGGTTTGTACAGATCCAGCAGTGGAGCCTCTGCCTGTTGTTAGCGCCTCTAGCTAGGCATGAGTGGGGGGTATGGGGCGTATTCTTCCCGCCCGTGTATCCCTGAAATCTCGTGTGAGCGCAGGTATAGCTCTCCTACAGGTTTATGCCTCTCGTGTATTTTACTGTTATCATTGATCAAATAGGAACTTGAAGTATCTTAGGTTCATGAAAAGTATGCCTTAAAGCAAGAAGAGCTAATGACTCTCCAGTCCCCGAGAAGCGGAAGGTTTTTTTTCATCCCTGGAGTGACCCTAACTGAGCACTCATTCCCTGTAATTATCACCATATTCTGTACTCCTTTTAGCTCCTACTTTTGTTTGTTATTATTAGATTGATCACTCTGAGGTTGTATCTCTAAAGTCCTGATGTTTCTCAGGTTTCTCCCTACAGTGCCCTGCATAGACTCTATTTTCAGTATGTGCTTAATAAGGTCTATAGGAAAGAACATATTACAAATCATAGTCAGTTTATGGATACCTTCAATTTCATTCTTGATTTACATCATTGCTATTTTTATTCCCTCTAACTCTGTTTTATTTAACTTTTGAGATTACAGTGATTGTTCAACAAAACAGTGGTGGGAATCCTACACAGCTTACTATAGGCTCATGAAGCCCACAGATCTGTACAAATAAATAAAATAGAAAAAGAGGAGCTGAGATTGGGACCCCCCTCCCCCACGGTTTCTATATACTTTTTGTACTTTCCAATTTTTCCAAAAAATGCACTATTTTAATGAGGATGAGGAGGATAATAATAGTAGCAGCTAACACTAATAGAGCACTTACTATTTGCCAAAACATTTCTAAGCGCTTTAAATGTATTATCTAAGATCCCACAACAACCCTGGGATTTAGGTACTTTTTTGAACCTCAGAGGAAGTAGACAATCCATAGGTGTATCCTGCTCTAAGAAAAACCATAAAACTTTGAAATTAGCAAGAAATCCTAATGCTTTAAAAAATATCCTTTATATTTTGTGTAACTTTCTAGGCATATCTCCATTGTGTAACTTATGGCACTTTTGCATTCAGTCCACTTAGTGATTTGGGGGGGCTGGAGGTGGGATGGTTAATTGTACGTTCTTTAAAATGGTTCTTGTTTTTACCTGTACTATAAGAAGGACAGGAGAAAGGAAATAGGTCAACTGTGTGGGAATGCGACCAACAGTCACTGCATGCTTGTCTCTCCCTGACCTCTAGCATAATTGCTCAAACTCCCTGGGTGTCAGGTAAGATGGGCCTAAGTTGCTTCTTACACAGAAATGATGAGGATTTGCTTAAAATATTAAGAAATACTTATTTTACTTAAATAAGCAGCATGTTTGGAGCCATTTAAAAACCTCAGGGGGATTTTAGCTATTCTTGAGGATGAGCAAAAATAGTTACCTTTGTTTTAGATCTTGTCAAGATTAAAAAAAACTTGCTGTAAGTTGAGTAACCATCCCACCAGGATGAATTCAGCTACCTTTTAAAGTGATTCAGGCCTAAGTAAAAATTTACCTTCCACTAAGTTTAGTTTTTCATATCTACCTTTTTATCACAAGGTATAATTTGTCTTATTAATAGCTCACTTTCAGACTGTTACTGCTAAGTTCAGTTTTGAATTGCTCTAAGTGATTCCTAGCATGGGGAAAACTCACTGGCCCATTTATAGTTAAACATGCTTTTCCTCAAAAGCTTCACTTCTGATACAAGTCATGACAAGCAATTTCCTCTAAAGCACATTTTTTTAAAGGAATTGAATAGAATAACCTACATATAGTCAAAGATTCGTGCATATTTGCCGAAGGCAAGCTTATGACCTAAAATGTACCTGCAGGAACCCATTACTTCTACATTTTTCCTCAAAACACTCAAAAGTACCTGACTCTTCTTTTACACCATGTAGAGTTGTATTGCTTGTACTAATAAGAGTTAATGTGTAGTTTGTTTTTTTTTTTCTGATTCTTTTTGCCAACTCTGTTTCTTTGCTTTTCCTTTTCTTCTCATTATTTTTGTCCTATCTTTCCTTTTTTTTTTTTTTTTTGAGAAGTCAGGAATTCCTTCCAGCAGTGAAAATGCAACTTCGTAACAGTGATTGTACAATGTTTACCTTCCCCCACCACCATATTTTTTTAACAGTTGGTTGAAACTTGCTTTACTCTCTCTGATGGGCTTTCAGAAGCAGACTTTTTTTTTTTTTTTCCTCTCACCATTCTTCAAGTGTTGGATACTTGAGGGAAAATAATATTCTTCCAAGGAAGTGAAATACCCCCATGGTGCAGTAAGATGGTTCAGTGGTCCCACCTAGAGTCATGAGGTCGCATGTAGCATTTGCCCCAGAGTGCCTGCACCTAGGTGGTCTCGGGGAAATGTTAACTCCTTTCCTCTCATGTACAAACGATTAATATACCTGGAATCTAGCTAAATAAGGTGTTGTGGCAGGAAAAAATTCTCCTTGTGGTAATCCTTAAACTGGAATAAAGGCAGCATTATATGGAATATAAGCAATATTGATAAGTTGTTTTAATACATGATTCTGGATGTGGTTGTTTTTCTACTAAGTACTGACCTATATCCTTCATGATAAGAAATGATAGAGAAATGTTGATTCTAATTTTGGCCAGGACCATTTTCTCAAGTTACATGCCTGCATGTAATGTGATTCTCTCTAGCTATGTAAGAACTTGTCATGTCTTTTTTTCTTATGAAATAGAATTCATTTTTCTTCTTATCCTAGCAATTTTCTAATTCTAGGAATCCATTTTCTTAAATGTAGCAAATGTGTTAGAGAATTTTCATTGATCTTAACCTTCAAAACTGATTTTTGGAATTTTAGCAGATGCTTATTTTAAAGACTGATGAGTTTTTCTAAGCCTTGGATGTGACTGCTCCCTAGGCCAGTTGTCCAATAACCACCCCATGGTAGCCCCTCTTCTGATAAGGTCAGACACTGGGTCTTATACCCTGTATTATCTTTACATCTAGTGAGCAGAGGGTAGGAATTTTATGAAAGGTTTATCAAATGAATGCATGTTTTGAGAAACTATTTCCAGGAGCCTAGAGCTTTCCAGTAGCCTTAATCCTTAGCAGTCTGATTTTTATCTACAGACTCATCTTAGCTGCCCTGAGTGCTTCCAGAAACTTATTCCAGAAGTGACTTCTGCTATGGTTCATTTGAAAACCTAGATGGGGCAGGGAGGACATAAATTCCTGGATTCTGGATATGTCTCAGACCGTACAGAAGAATCCCCTTAGCCTCTTCCCACCTTAATGAAAGAAGCTGATGTACCTAGGAATCATCTAACCTTAGATGGTGCCCAGTGAAAACTGCAATATCATTATAAAATAACTCTGTGTCCACTGCAGAAACTGAACATCCGCTTCAGTTGGTCATGGAATTTTCTGTTACGGACCATTCTTGTATTTCCTAAAGAATGTATTAAGACATTGGTGTAGTGTCTAGAAAACAGATGCTAAATAGCGTGGGTATTGTTAAGTATTTTTAATCAAATTATTTGATGCAATGGTTATAATTGAGTGTACTTTCTTACGGCTCTAGTACATACCGGTATGCATAAGGATGTTTTGGCAAGAAAACTTGTTTTCATTCTTTTTAGTTAGACTCTTTATCCAGGAAAGTAAAAATGATCACTCTCCATTCCTTACTCAGCATCTGTTATTTAAAGGGGACTCAATGTAGCGAATATGTCCCCTTTCTGTGCCTCAAATCCTCATCTACAAAATGGAGCTAATGCAATATTTACTTTATAGAGTTCTTGTGAAATTAATGTTTTAATATACATCACAGCCCTTACAACAGTGGCTGGCTCATAGTAAGTGCTCAAAAAATGTTAGCTGTCATACTTGTTGATGTTTTATTATATCATGAATGTATTATTTCAAAGGAAGTCTCTATCCCATAAAAATGATTTTTATTTTCTTAAATATGTTAAGGATTAAAAGAGAATAAAAACACTTCAAATGCTTTACTTCTGTCATTATATTAATTGTCCCTAATAAGACTGGTGCTCAGCGGCTGCCCATAGAAGAAGCCAGGAAGAAGGAATATTGTTTAGTTTTCCTAATAGCCATTTTGGTTTCTTAAAGCAGCGTATTTTGACTGTCTAAATTCTGTAATACAAACTTGGGAGGGGCTGATTCCAATTTCAGTGTTAAAAATATCGCTGTTATATTTTCTGCATATCCTGTGGAAATCATCACAAAATATAGAATATTGGTGAAAATAATGCAAAATGCTGCTTAAATTGTTTTCCAGTCCTCTTTCTTACATCCAATATTTTTCTTCTGACAGAAGGAACTTCCTTCACCACCCTCCCTCCCCCACCCCCCGCCACACACACCATATCAGTTTCTAGGGAGGGGGCTTTTGGAGGGAATCTTTAAGTTTTGATCCACGAAAAGGACTTAATTGTTTGCCTTGTTTTATGGTATAGCTTTATCCTAATTTCCCCCCTTTCAGTGCACAAAATCATTTTGCTGTTCTTTGTAGTAGTCAGGGCCAGCCAGTTTATTTTAATAGTCCAAAGAAAGACAATATGTTTAGCTTACATTTGGCTGAGACAAATTTGGAAGAATGCAATTGGTTAAAGGCTACAGATAATCATATGGATATTGATGACATTAAAGAGGAAGATTTCTGACAGAGGAGGGAAATGTTGTGCCCAGTAATAGCTAGTGGTTACTTGTAAGAACATTAGGTTATTAACCACAGGGCAGGTGCTATCATTGTGTATCTAAAGAAGGAATTAGATAACTTAATGAAAGAACAATGACTGAGTCAGAGCCTCCCAAACTCCCTGGCAAAAGTCAATCTGTAACATCCTGAAAACATGCCTCTTGGATTGATTAAACCCATTTAAGCTGAGCGGCTACCCTTTGTCTGGTAATTGATCTCTTACCCTAGGGACAGAGCATCACCTTGGAATATCTGTTTCCCTCCTTTGTTCTCTCCCTCCCTCACTCTCTAGAGGTGCATTTCAAACATACAGAGAAGAATAGAAAATATAACAAACACTAATGGACTTATTACCTAGCATCACTGAATAATAATGTTCTGCCATATTTGCTCTAGGTCATTTAAAAAATAAAACAGTATGTCTACTCTCGTTTCCCTTCATTCCTATAAAGAGGTGATCACTATCATGAATTTAGTGTTTTTCTTTCTTATGAATGTTTTTTATACCTTTACTACATATTTTTGCAACCATTAACATAAACATACAGTATTAATTTTGGATTTGAAACTTAATATAATGGTCTCACACATGTATTGCCTTGTTTTCCAACTTTTTATTTTGGCCAATTTTGAATTATATCTACTTTGCTATATGTAGTTTTATTCATTTGTCTTAGTTGATGCTAGTCCATTATGAATATTAGCATAATATTTGTCCATTCTCCCGTTGATGATCATTTATTTCCATTTTTTCCTTACTGTTAACAATGCAACAGTAAACACGTTTTTATGTGTCTTCTGCATATATGGAGAGAATTAGGTAGGGTATGTACTTGGAAGTGGAAATGCTGATTTGATTTCCAAGGTGGTGCTGATTCTCATCAGTTATGAATGAATTTTTTCCTTTCTTCACATCCCCACCAACCTTGATATTGTCAGATTGTAATTTTCTCATTCAGAGCAGGTGGAACATTATTTGGACGTTTTAATTTCTATTTCCCAATTACCTGTGAATTTAGGCTCCTTTTATAACTTTATTAGCTATTCAAGGTTTCCCTTCTGTAATTTCCCTGATAGTGTAATTTGAGGTATTTCACAATAATTTTATTCTTATTTGCTGAAGGTAGGCAGAATAGCCTTATTGAAACACACCTTGAGTTTTGACAGTTACCTTTAATGCATTCACTCAGATATTTAAATACATTTCAAAGACAAAAATGAGCTTAGGAGAAAACCCCTGAACTAGTAAATATGTCCTGAGCCCTATCATTTTGTTCCTTGGATAGAAACCCATATGTCCAGGGAAGTGGGTGCTTTACTTACTAATACTTGGCATTTCTCTGCTATCTGAATGATGAGAAAGATGTTCATTTAATTTGCTGAAATTATAATTACGCACCTAAAGTCTAGAAAATAATGTACACAACTTGATTTTTGGGAGAGAGGAGAGAAGAGTGGGGGGTGTTGAGAGTGGACAACTAATAGATAATTGTCGGATCCAAATACAAATGTGCAGATGCAGTGAATTATATACCTACACCTAAAATAGAGAAGATATTTGCTTGGGAAATTCTTCCTATAATTTTTAGTCCTTAGTATAATAAAATACTTTTTCTATTACGGTTGATAGTCCTTTGCCTTATCTCTATCTCTCAAACTCAGCGGGAAGAAAATTTTTAACCTCTCAGCCAAAAATGTCACTTGGGATCCGTTTATAAAAATGATCAAACAAGTGAATTATTTACCTGAGAAAGAGAAATTTTCCCCAAGCCTCTAGTTACCTTTTTCTAAATCAGATTCCCTGTTAGTGTGTAAACACTGGTGGCCCTGTAATGATTTGTTGTCTGTTTTGGTTGATTGAATGTGTGGTTAACCTAATGCCCAGTTTTCGTTTGCACTTAGGATGGAGCTATCTAATTCTATATCCTCCAACATATACGACCCACTGACTTGTTCACTTAATGTCTTGTGTGTTTAATGTGACCCACATGTCCTGAGTTGTCCCACTGGCTGTAGGCTGTGAAGGACTCTGGCACCCTGTTGCTCCCAGTGGAGTCCCCAAGTCCCCTAGTTATAGCGAGTGTTGTCTGATAGCCCTCCTACTTCTTCTGTGTCACCATTTAACCTCTGGGTTCTGCTCTCCCCTTATATGAATATTACCATGTATGTCCAGTCTATAGTGATGTCATTTGGTGTATGAACTAATAAAGCCTTTGTAAGGGCGTTGGGATTTTAAGTCTTGACTCCTGAAACACTGTTTTAAAATGAACTATTTCATATGTATTGTGGCTACCCACATCATTAGGCTAAAAAAATCTTATCTGTATTGTCTGCCGTTTTCTTGCTGTCCCCTTTCTGTAGGACTTCTGTAACTCTGCTGTCTCCCTTCTGGAAGACTTTGACAACATAATGGTAACACCCCTGCTGTCATTCCTTTTTTCTGTCTTTTTTTTTTTTTTTTTTAGTAGATTTTTATAGCATTACTCTTTAAACATCAGAGTAAGAAGCAGGGTATTCTTCCATAGCTGGTAACACTTAGAGTCTTCATTTCACTGTTACTCACTTGGTTTAAGTTTGAGACTGTAACACAGAATCATGAATGCATCGACCATGTTCGATTTAATGGGATTTATTTCTGAAAGTTTTTTCCCTTTGATTGCCTCATGATTTTCATCATTTATGTGTACAGTATAGAAACCAGTGGACGTTCATGGCCTGGGTTTGGGAACATAGACCAGTTCATGCACCTTCATCTCAGTTCCAGTTTTGAACCCATCTATTCCTGAGCTCTTGCTTCCCTTTGTGGTAATTCACATCATTAGCAGAAGAACGCATGGCATGCTAATTCATAGGCTAGTGCAAGATAACGCAAACTGTGGTTATGAAACACACCCTTCTCATCACATCCCACTCACTGGCTATTCTGAAATTCTCAACAGAACTCATCATCTCTGTTGTCTTTCCGAGACAAAGAAGATGTTTTTTTTGAGCATAGGTCTTGTGCATGCATGTCCTAAGACTTCACCTCTACTGCTTTGCCTGGGCTAGCTAAGAATGCATGTTTTGCATTAAATTACTTATAGGTTTCTGTATCAGGTAGCCAACCCACAACATAAACCCAAGAAGCATTAGAATAAAAAAGAGCACACATCTCAGATGTGAATGTAAGTCAACTTGTTTCACTGCCAATTTTAATGGGTAACATTTTCTGTACATTGGTGAAAATGTCCGTGATTGCATATTCAAGCTTTGAAAATATTTAGGTTATTAAATACTTGTTATGTAGGCAATTTCTTTAATAGTTATTCAGCAAAGAAAAGTTTGGAGACTTCTGAAAAGAATCAATTTTTCTTGACACTTTGTGGTGTACAGAGAGCAGGTGAGGTTTTTATTTAAAAACTTGAAGTAAACTTTATCAATTAAAAAGTATTTTGGAGATAGCTATGTTTGCTGTTGGACATTTTGTTCAGATGATAATGTAATTTGGATAAAGTAGAATTTGCATCAATCAATGATTTTACTTTTTTTTAAAAGACCAAATGTTTATCAAGTATTTAAAGTCGTAAGATTCTGTGCTTTCTGTATTCATTCAAATTAATGGAAATGTGTGTATATATCTTTGCTGTCCTTTTCACCATTCTAATTTTCCTTTAATTTTCTCCAGTATTAAGAATATAGTAAATGTATATACTCAACCAATCATCTATTCATTTATGAGCATGTTAAGAGTATATTGTAAAAGTTCATTATTGTGTGAGGTGTTTATTTTAGAATGAATCAGTTTGTTCCAGCCATTAATGTTACTGTTAATTGATTCCCAACCACGTTGTATTTTATATGAAAACATTATAAGAGAATCAAGCATAACTGGTCAGCTGGACCTCCTGTATTTATAGAATTTTCTCTGTGTCTGTTGTCTGCAATCAAAATACACCAGTATGATGTGATGACCATAATTTCTGGTTCACACCATGTATTATTTTAGCCTCGGGCACCATTACTCATTACCTTCCAAACTAGTAGTCACAAATAAAACCCTTTTTGCTAGATGACTCATAAAACATTACCCACTGATTTTCACTGGGGGACCTCTTATTATCCCTAAATCAGCATTATCAGAAACAAAGTCACAAAATCTAGCTGTGGTTTTTTAGGTACAGTTTGTCTCTCTACTTGAGACACTTAAACACCATTGAAAAGTGATTAAATAGGGATTTCAAAAATTCATTGCTGGTGAACTGAGTGAATAGAAAATCCCTAATCCTGAAATGCTGATTGTCATGCTTACTGTCAGCTAATTGGAGGCATAACCAATTCTCTTTTAGAAAGAGGTCTTCACATTTTTTCAATTGCCTGAGGGGGAGTAATTGCTAAATGAAGAGAACAAGACCCAGAAGAATGAAAATTATGTTTGAGAATAATTTATCAAGAATTTTAAACTTATTGGATGCATTTATTTCAAATTATGCAAAAGGCCTTTGAGTCACCATCTCTTTGAGTTCAGATACTTCTCTTGTCTGACTCTAAATAAAGCAGTAAGAGAGAATTGTTCTTATAAAGGCTAGGAACATAGCACAGCTTCTTAAGGTTTTAGAAAGTGGAAGTTGAAAAAAAAAATGCAGTGGATTTATGTTTCTTATAGAGAGGCAAGCCCAAAGCAAAGTGCATAGACACATGTAGGAATTTACCTCAGGTAACAATGTAGAGATGAGTCTGTGTAGTTACCAGAACTTCCCAGTTAACTGCGGCTTATTCCTTTAGCACACGTAAGTCAGGTGTCTGAGCCAAGGGAGCCTGAGCAGGGCACAAACATGTCTTATTTTCTCTTCTAGTGATGTGCTCAAAGTCAAATGTCAGTTGGCTAGACACAAATATTTGGTTAAAAACCGGCCTCTTGAGTTATCCTTTGGCTCACACAAAAATGTGCACTTTTTTTTTAAATTTTTTTTTTTTAAGATTTTATTTATTTGAAAGAGAGAGAGACAGAGGCAGAGCATGAGTAGAGGGAGGAGGGAGAGGGAGAAGCAGATTCCACACCCCCCCCCCACCGGCTGAGCAGCGAGCCTGAAGCGGGGCGCAATCCCAGGACCCTGAAATCATGACCTGAGCCAAAGGCAGATGCTTAACCGACTGAGCCACCCAGATGCCCCTAAAAATATGAATTTAATGTTTCCTTTAGTTGTTTCAATTAAGCAGAATAAATCAAGAGGGGGAAATTGAGCTATTTTGCAGATATTAATGCAGGTATAAATAAGTAATCATTAGAATGATAGATGCTAAAAATTAAAATTCACTAAAGAACTTCTCTTATTCATTCCTTATTCAACAAATTCAACATCAGTAATTTGTACAATTATTGATATAATGTATTTCTAGCATTATTCTGGGGAAAACCAAAAGTAGGACATTTCAGTTCTGTGGGAGAGACTGGGGTATCTTTCATTCAAGGAAACATGATGATAAAGCCATGCACAGAGTACATGGGGACTACTGGCCAGCTCGGAGCATTTGGTTTTCCCAGGAAGGATATTGCAGATCTGAATTATTACCTACTATCTTATATAAATCAGGAAAAATTGGTGGTAGGAAGGAGCATAGTATGTTCATAAATAAATAGTTTTCCTTGAGACAAAAATGACAGAATGCATGAATTTTACAGTGTAAAAACTGTATGTGAGATTTCTTATCCCTTTCTCTTTTTCTTTGAAAGTTAGTATTTTACCTTACATGTTAATTTTGTGATTTTTTTTATGTAGAATAGTTTTAAATTCCTATTTCTTAAGTGTCCGTGATCTCAAATGTTACTTGCCAGTAAGAGTGTTGCCCAGTAACACAGCTATTTCCCTTATTAGTATTCTAGTTTACTCCACATGTAAGTCATAGTTCCTTTCGTAGGGTTCTTCAATAAGCAGAGGAAGAGTGAATAGTATGAAAAATCTGTCTTTATGCATCTGCATGCGGCTGTCACGCACAGATCACATCTTGTTCCCCTCTAAGACAAAGCAGGGTGTGGGAATTGTAAACTACTTATGGATCTCAAGATTTTAACTCACATGTAAATAATTCATTTTTCTTCCTTTCTGTAAAAAGGATAATGTGCAAATATTTCTCCCCACAAAACAAAAGAGTGTGTTTCAGAGACCTTGTAGGGCACTGTCAGGGAGCCCGGATTCTCGAGGAGTGGCATTTAACCATGTGGTTCATCTAATGACTCCTTGGCAGTGTTTGGAAGATCAAAAGCCTTTCAGATACTCTCAGGGGGAAGAGTTGTTGGTCCCGGGTGGCCATGCTGCCATGGAATGAGTTCTCATAGAAGGAGTTGAGGTTATTTTCCTTAGACCCAAGTAAATACAGACATAATTGCACTTAGATCAATCAGCTAAAAGCTAAGGGTATCTTTATGGTCCCCCTATTCTGGGAATTTAGATTCTTGTTGAAGCTATTATATGCACTCTCAGAAACTTGCGTTTGGCCCATGGATGGATGGATAGTCACCTTAGGAAATGCCCTCAAGTGATTTTATATGAGGATCAGAGAAAGAATTTTACCATAGGATGTATACATTTGGTTTCAATATTTCAGTAACAAGTCTTAATAGAGATTCTCTCCCTGTTTTTTTTTTTTTTTTTTTTTTTA